TTTTAGTAATACGGAAACCAAAAGAGTGTTGTTCCTTTTGAGTGTGTAGTAGTCACTTTGAGTGTTGTATTCGTGACTACACAGTGTAAAATTCCTTACTATAGTAATATCAGTTGCTCCTCTTGGCCCGTGGTTTTTTCCCTTATTCAGAAGGGTTTCCACGTAAAATTCTTGGTGTCGTTATTTTCTCATTTTATTTCCATTAATTTTACCATATATACTTTTGTGCTTGTCCGCGTTTTCCCAACAGTATTTGTGTTCTTAAATGAATATTGAAGCTCAATTAACATACTTTTTCCTCTGTTTATGAAAAGATAATTTATTTTGATATTTACCCATGGACTCTGTTTCTCACTCTCTGATAGGCAGAGTTTTAAACAGTGCTGATTCGATTGAACTCAAAAGGAGGTTCTTGTGAAACTTGACTTAGGTAAATTCTAGGTTGGGATCAGTGGCGGATCCAAGATTTTCGCTAAGGGGGTACGAGAAAAAAGTAGTGCTTAAGATTTGAGGTTTGAACTCTTCAACCACTAAGTCAACCTCTAATCTTATATTCAAGAGGTTCAAAATCAATATATAAGCATAAAAAATTCTTAAAGTACCTTAAATATACAACGAATTCCTCGGCAAACTCTAGGTCCGCCCCTAGTCGGGATGTTAGGAGCCATATAAGACCAAGTTCAGAATTGTTAAATTAGGTCTTGGGTCTAACTCAAACCCCCAAAGTTATCTCAACGGGAGGAGGATTGCCCAAACCATATAAGGAGTTCACTCATCTCATTAACTACCAATGTGGGACTATTTGCTTTTAAAACCCACCTCAAGTGATGTGCTTAGCATCTGGTGTGTGAACAATTTTAAATAATTTTTTATTTTTTTGGATCCCAACATTGAGTGAGATGGACCCTACTCTGATACCTTGTTAAATAGGTATCTTGTTAAAGCACTTTTTGGGCTAAAGCCGAATGGACTAACCCGTGAGACCCCAAAGATTGGGTTAGAGCATATACTAGAGGTTTAGAGTTTCGAATATTGAGAAATAAAAGAATTTCTTGATAGAGAGCGAGTTTTACCACAAAATAGTCATATCAAGAAAGTGGGTTCAAAGCCTAATGCCTAGAGGAGGAAAAAAAAAGGGGAAATTGCCTCCATGTCTAATTAATGGGAGAAAATACTTAGACCACATAGTCCATATTTTGAGCTGGTTACATGGTTTAGCCCATATTTGTGTATAAACACATTTCATACACTATTATACACATCTATACAAGAATGATATATTATATATAATATTTTTTAATGACTGTAGTGTTCGAGCTAGCTTCCTCGACTAATTCAACGGGATACCTACCACCATTATATAATGTTTTTCCCTAGATATAATATATATTGAACTACGTAACGTAATAATACATTGTCTATCACAAGAAAAAGTATCATTTTGTAAACAAAATCACCAAAATCAAGATAGTACATAAGGGATACAATAAGCAAATTGACTAACATAACAAAAAGGGCACCCTATTGCTTCTTGTTTAAACTAGACCAATACTCACTCTCCCATGACCTCACTTGCTTTGTTGCATTAACTTTTTGTTCAACAAATGTCTTAAGTTGTTGAGGATCATAAGGTGGTGGAAGTATACAAGGATCACTATAACTTGGAGATTTCTCTAAACCTTCTTCCATGAACTTTCTCCACAAACCATCTAATGGACATGCCAATGATTCTGAACATATTTCAGTAGCATTTTGAGGAACAATTGGATCAAATCTTTGTAACTTTGCATATTCATTCAATAGATGGTATATGTAATCGAAAACGCGCTCCATCTTCATATCTTCATGAATGAATTCACTTCCTGCCTTTCCTATTGCTTCTGCCTGAAAATTCTCAGCATGTACACAACAAGGTTTGTCAAATTAAAGAAATGGCATATACTTTATCCGTCTCAGTTTATATAGCACACTTTTGTTTCCGAAATTTGCTTATTTAGAAATGATTTAACTTTAAACTTCAAACAAATGTACATGACTTGTTTGCAATCATATGCATAATGAGTCTCTCTTTTTTTCCTTTGAATTTTGTGTCTAATCAAACACTAAATATCAGTCAATTATGGATGAGTGACTTGGACAATCGGTTCTTGACCTAACTTCTAGGGATAGTTAGGGCTTAGGCTATAATTTATTTCTTTTCATGACATCAGAACAAGACTCATCCTGATTCTAGTTCATAATGATAGGCACATATTAAAATTTTTCACGCTCGAGATATCCACTTAAATGAGATTTTAAAATTCATAGATGAAATTAAACGTTATAATCGTGAAAAAAATTTGAAAATATAGTCATGTACCTTGTGAGTGTGATTGTTTCCCCATTGAACAGCAAATTTGAGAGATTTACACTTGTCATTATCACTAATAGGCCAATAATGTTGTTGTGGGATCATTCCTCTTATGAAGAAATCATAGAAGTGAGACTCTATGTATAATGTTGGGGAATCACATGCAAATATGTATTTCTCACTAACTGACCATGCCCATCCTTCAACATATATTTTGTATCTATATAATATAATAACAATTTTCAAATTATAATAATTAGTAATTAATACAAGAAAATTGATAATCTTTAATTTGGAATTTTATATTATAGTA